AGAGAGAAGTTTCCTATCACAAAATCACTTCACTGCATCTGACGCACTAACAAAGAACCCGTGTCCACTTACAACGAAATAAGTGTCACCTGCATACTGCGGGTTTACGTTCAGCAAGAAATGAGAATAACTCCATCTGCTGACTTTGTAATAAACTGTCGCAACACTAACACAAAATTAAGAGAGTTTGACGTGTAAAAACCACCACTTCGCCTCTCGTGCTTCAAACTGGCAGATAGATAAGTTACGTCAAAACTGACAAAGAAAATCTTAAGAGCCCTACCTGGAAATGCAGGATTATTGTCCAAATGAGACCAAGAGTCAGTTTTGGGTTTCCATCCACGATGTCTTCTGCTCGGATATTCACCAGCTTGATCTGTAACAAACGATTTTTACCATCATAATTCTGTTTACGACATTCTGACCAGTTTACTGCTTCTTCATTATAACATTTGGTTTATGTTGATGCTGAAAATCACAGAGTAGAGATGAAGAAAGGATAAATTAAAAACTAAATACTATATTTATGTATACTACAGTGTGTATATACATGATCTGTCATTAGGAAGAATAAAGTTCCCCTCATATCACAGCCATTACATCATGGACTGTGGAAGTAACATCTTCATCTGACAATGAGTTTAACAAGTTAACCTTTTTCCTGGGATTTTGGGAATGACCCGTTCTTCAAGTGCCTGAGCACTGCGGGTCCCAACTTTTCGTTGGCTCGATCTGTAGACATTCGGTAGGACTCCTTGGACGAGGGATCGGCCCGTCATAAGGCCTCTACCTGTACACAGGACAGCATAACACAGAAAACGTGGACAAACATCCATGGCTTGAGTGGGATTCGAACCCACGGTCCCAGCGACCAAGCGGCACAAGGCCCACGCCTCAGACCGAGCGGCCACTACGGACCCCACATCTTTAATACTTAGTTTAAAACGCTAGTGTGTTACTATAAACCCATTTTCTCTGGCTATTGAAATTTTAAGTGAAAGGTTAATGTGCTTTACTGCATTTTTAAAGGGATATGTCCCTATTAACTTCATTACATTCTGCCTTATTAGAAGAAGCAAAAGAATAAATCCTTCCCTAACTTACAAAACACAGAGTAAATACAAAAAATGTAAACATTACACAGCTCAAAGATGGCTGTCGTCTGGTTTGTAGTGTCACGTACTAATCAAAACCCTGATGTTGGAGGCAGCGAGGACCTCTGAAATGCTTGTAAATTTCTACCAGACTACACATCACTACAACCCAGAAGACAGCTATTTTCATACTTACTGCCATGAGAACCACAAATCCTACATTTTATTTTTTGGTACCATCGGGTCGGAGCTGACCCCTGGTGACATTATGAACAAGATCCCTCTGATAAGGACCTGTTCATATGTTTCCTCGGCAAATGTTCCAGAAGTGCCTTCTTCTGTGTGTAAATGACGATGAAAATGGAGTAATTGTCGGAATGCCACGGAGAAACCGGGGAAGCCCCGGAGGAAACCTCCGTGATACCTGGACCACGGCCTTGCCCAACACAAGTTATAAATCAGGGCACCACCGGGAATCGAAACCGGGACCCCAGGATTACAAGCCCAGCGTTCTGACCGCTAGACCACCGTGGCGGTAAATCCTACATTACAGGGCCCAATTTTCAAACTCAAAAATAGATTGTATGGAAATCTGAACACCGGACAGCTTTTTATTTTCTAAGATCATATAAGCGGACAACGTAGACTCAAACTCACCTTCCTGTATCGCAAGAAGTCAAGGGAAATCTGCACATTCTGCAACATGTGGAACCGCATGCGACCTCTCTCCCGGGGCTGTAATAACACAATCATCAACAAATTAATTCATAATAAACTTCGACCTTCACGTCATCGAGCATCTAGTTTCTGTTACTGCAATTATAAGAGAGCACTTTAGTAAGCTTAATGTGGTTTCAATGTAAAAGTTCAATAAATTTTATTCCACGGTTTTTAAAGTGGTCCACTATAACTAATTGACCAATATCAAAATCTGTTAAATCATTACAAAAAAATACAAATATACAGAATACTGCATGGAAAATGTCATATTTGGTGCATTACAAAAAGATATTCAACTGTCTCAGAGCCTTCTGCCGATCGTCTTTGCCACCATAAGAATCTGAAGTTTCAGATCACTAATTGGTTTCTCACAAATTTACAGTTCGCTTACTTCCATACTCTTGCAAAGAATTCTTTAAAACTAGTTTACTGACTTCTTCATTTTATATAAACTACATTTCAGCAATATTATTTAATATAATTTCCATGTTTCCCAAATTCTTTATTTGTTGTTTTGGATACCTCATTGACCTTCATAAACATTTATTTCAGATACTAAATCTATTATTGCAAATCAAATCAAATGGTAGATATCAATAATGGGAAGAGTTGGATATACACCCTTGGACTTCATAAAATATTGATCATATAAAAATCTTTAAACTAATATTTCATTAAATGTCGTTCTTACTAATCATTTTAAGTGCCAAATGGTGAACTTATTGTTACTAAATCTGTCGTGGCCCATTTAATGATACTGTCTCAACATTTGCCTGGACAGACTAGGGATAATTACGAAGAAAAATTGCTCAGGGTAGCCACTTTCCAGACCGAGACTTGAAGCAGGGACTCCCGAACATCAAGTTTATGGAGTTTCGGCTGGCCGGTTCGCACCAAACTTGTCTCCCTCAGTAAATGTTCACCGAGAACATAAAATTTAATTGGAATCTTGTTACCGAGCGCAAACATTGGGACTGAGGGCCGTGACAACCTCGTTGTACGTTAATTTCATGAACTTAATGCGAAACAGCTTATGCGAATTATATTAGTTTTCTGGCCGACTTCTTCCGAGAAATAAAAAATACTGCTGGAAGTTTACATAAGAATAAATAATATAATAAAATAAAAAATCCCTAGCGCTTCGCAAGAACGTGTGCTACTACGCGTTACAATACCTGCATTCAGAATTAGATCTGCAAAATCTTGATCAGAACACGACACTAAGGTGCGCCAACAGAAACGCCTCTGAAAGTAAGTTACGAAAGCAAGCATTCTTGTCGTGACACGTGATGGCACCTTCAGGGGAAACACAAGTTTACAAAGAAAACTAATACGCCCACAAGAGCACGTATCATGCCAAAAAATCTCTGCTGGAAATGACACGCCAAAGCCAGTGATTTTGAAAACCGGCCCTGCTGTTATTACAGGTTGTGGCAGACTGTGTAGATCACGGTCACAGAATTACTCCCTCACGGTCATGCAGCGACGTAACCGGTGGAAATCAGTTTACTTCACCTTAAACACGCGATTTCCCTCCCGCACTACGCCACTGGCTATATTCAGTTCGCAATTAACCCAATAAAACAACAGGCTTGCTAATATTAATTTTGAAACGAATTATTTCTCTTAATTAATAAATTATTATCACCATAATTTTTGTTGGCGATGCTGGTTGTATTAATTTTATTACAGGTGAAAAAAATACAAAGGATACAGCAAACATTGTGTGGGCTAATAGGAACTGACTATTATACAAACATCGGAAACAGTTCCGTGATGCTTTTAACTCGCCAAGAGTATTACCACTACACTGCGGTATGTACCGACTTCATTACTTTGGGCCTACCAATAACAAAAGATTGAAACCTTCAGTTGGAAACGGTAATGACTTGGTGACGCACTTTAGATTTTGTTCGAGTGCGTTCGGTGGAGTCGGAGCTCGAAAATAGGTTGTAAATAGGTTCGATCTCAGACTACATAAAATAAACGTCACATATTTAAATCCTCCTAGACTGAAGGTCTTATACAGATGGTCAAACAATCGAAACCAACTTGGGTAAGATGTTTCCTATTACTGCTTGCAATTAAAAGTGTCACAGAATAATTATTTTCCGGGAGAACTTAGAAACAGAGTCCATGTTTAATTGTTCGAGACCGTATTTTATCGAAATACGTAGACTACGATGTTTTCGATTATCAGCATTCGGAAGGATGGATACGAATTCCCATATTGATTACGCATTCATGTGTAAAAGAACGCGTTAAAATGCAATCACTTCTGCCCCGAGAATGTCGTTTTGCCCCCATTTCACTAAAAGGAGGACGAATCAATAGACGGGCTGAGAACATGCAAGTCCACTGTATGTAAAATAGTTCTACTCATAATTATTTTCTTGGTGTCTACGCGAACGACAGTTTTGGACCTCGAAGCTGGTATTAACCATCAAAGTTATAAGTGCTACGACAAGGTACAACTGAATTTCATTTTTAGTGTTCTGTCCATATGAACAGGATCCTTCCATCCTTTTCTCGGACTGGGACCTGTTCATATACGTTCTTGGCAGATGATCCAGAAGTGGTTTGCCATTGCCTTCTTCTGTGTGTGAATGGAGTAATTGTTGGGATGCCACGGAGAAACCGGGGAAGCCCCCGGAGGAAAACTCCGTGTTGCCTAGACCACGGCCTTGCCCAACACAAGTTATAAATTCGGGCACCGCCGGGAATCGAACCCGAGACCCCAGGATTACAAGGCCAGCGTTCTAACCGCTAGACCACCGTGGCGATACACAACTGAATATTACAATTAATATAGTCGTGAGTCGTGTTTATGGTTGTTCAGGCGTGTGTTTTTGTCTTGCGTTTTGTTGTTGTGTTTGTGTGTGTACGCCACACCTAGATTTGGCAGTACTCAAGTTCTAGTTGACTGATGATGTGCGCTCTGCGTGCGATCTCAAGACCTTGACAACCTATCACCGTGGCGAAACAGCGCGTAAAGTGGGTGCCGCAAATTATACATTAATTATATATAATGCACCAAACTATACGACACACCTGCTCAGCCACACTCATCCTACTCCATGAGCGTTCTTACACATTCTGTTCGTTTTATCTGAGTGGGTCACAGTCGCACCTTTTCTAATACGCAATTTCATATACAATTTGCTCCACGGACCTTCCGGCCAATGTCTGCCTCCATGGTAAAAAAAAGCCTTCCTTACAAATTAAAAGCTGGTCAAGGAATTTCGTTATGAAACCCATGCGTTCATTACCATGTTCACAAAATCACGCCAAGCAAACTCCATCGAACTGTCCACACATTCAAAACCAATTTTGTTATTATTGTCCCATTTTCGCCTAGATCTCGTCCCTTGAAGTTTCCGGACAAAAACTGTGCGTTTCTCACTTCACTGTGTCCGCTACAGGTAAACCAAACCAAACCAAACCAAACCCAACCCAACCCAACCCAACCCAACCTAACCTAACCTAACCTAACCTAACCAAACCAAACCTAACCTAAGAGTATTCAGAACATGGTTAATTAGAAGGAACAGGCTTTAGCCTAATCTGCACAGGCTAGAAGACAAACCTCACGCACGCTAACACTTTCATACAATGTAGGATCTCAGGCTTTCACGGCGGTGAATTTGAAGATGGTTGTATTCTTTCATACAGCGTTTCTATATATCACTACCGAGGATTTGGCGGATAGAAACCATAGTCATACGTAAGTAGCCTTCTTACAAATAATCCCACGTTCCGGAAAAACTCCTACGTTACTTAATGCCTAAACGGACAATCTGTCTAGAGAGGATACCGGGTACTTCAAATTAATAATTCTATGCAACTTTCAACCGTATAAATTACCGCTCACCGCCAGAGTTACAGAATGTAACCTTCAAGTTACACTCCTCAGCCAAGTTTATAGTTTTCAAAAACACAAAAATGTTTCAAAAACATCTGTAGGTATGGTTTAACAAAACTGTTACAAACTCAAAATGTGTTCTAGTGCTCTTTCTCAAAAGAAAACATGCGCTCATGACCTAAGCACCGTTTCTCAACCTATGGTGCGCGTACCACTAAGTAAAAAAATCAGAAGATAACATTAACATAAATAAGTTTTCCCTGAATGCATTTGGTTCGTGGTATATTTAATGTGTTAAATTAAAATTAGTGATACGCCAGCGAAAAAAATTGAGAACCCCTGACCTAAAGAATAGGTAGCATATTTTTTTCTAAAATCTTACCAAACAAAATATAAAGAAGCAAAATGTCACATGATAATGGAAGCAGTTTGTTCCTCCGAAACATCGGTCAGTATCTACCATACTACATATCGCAGCATACCAGAAGACAGCTGTCTTCATATTCATCGCAATGGGAACCTGAAATCTCACCAAAATACAGAAGCTCTAGTGTCTCGCTGACGACAGAAATTTGCACACCCGTCACGTTGGTGTAGATGCTTCAAGTATCATCTAAATTTAATTAAAATCTGTCAATGGAAACGCAGATGCATGACCCACGCACGCACATACATTAACGTGAATACACAAGACAGATTTCCTTATACAAAAAAGGATAGCAGGCCAACAACGATATGTCCACTTCACATTAATGTATTCATGGCCTCCTAGTTTGTTATGACCACGGAGCCCAAATGATGTGCTGTTATTTAACGTGCCATTAGCAAACGCAAACATATTTTATTAGCGAGTTCTGTGCAAATTACCACATATTTACAATACAGGTTTGTAAGAACTGCGAGAACATACATCTGCCAATCTATCTGATCACTCTCGGACAGAGGATTAAAAACTGACATGGTCGTTTGCAGCCCTGAGAACACTTTCTACTACGATGACGAACCAGAATTGTCTCGAAAGGAAACGTGCTTGTCACACGCCACAAACAATATTTCAACGAATGGATGAATCTACAAGAAAACTGACTTGAAGGTTAAGTTCGTATGCCTACATTTGTTTGTTTGTTTATCTGTGGTTTGCTTAACGAAGTTG